TGAGTGGTTATATAACCAATAATAACCAATAACCAGTAACCAGTACCCCCAATTGAGTGGTTGAATAACCAATAACCAGTAACCAGTCCATAATTGATTGGTTAGCGAACCCTGGGCCCGATGGAAGACAGGGTGCTTGTCGACAAAGTTTTTTGTGCAGGCAAGACCTGCTACCAGAATGCGAGAGAAGAGGAGGACAAGCCTCCTGAATGGTGGAACCACTGTGAAAACAAGATGGATTTTGGTTATTATGTCAATGGGAGTGGGCGTGGGGTTATTGAGACAAGCCTGTGGGATCTTCCTGTCCCCACCAAGGGCCGAGACAATGGTCATTGGTTCCAATGATCCCCCAAGAGAACGTTCTGCAGTACTAGTACCTCTTATCAGTCAACATCAGCAGTCAACCCATGTCCATCATGACACCGGCTTGAATAATGCCAACCAAGATACCCCTGAACTGGCAGACGACAATCAACTCACCCACAGCGATAATCGGAATCGAACAGCGATTGTCTGGGTCTGCCGTTATTTAGATGCCTGTGGAGCTGCACGGTTGCGTCATTTGTTGGCGACATCTACATCCCGCGATCGAGATGTCTGGGTATTGCACAATCACAAGTCTTTAAAAGACCAAGCTCAGTTGCAGACCAGTCAAGAGTTGCTAGGGGAACTGCAAAGCTTTGCCAAGGAGAAACTGGGAGTCCGTCTATACAGTCTTCACCAGGACGAGGGCAAGTGGAATGGCTTTGATGGGGATCGATCCCGCAGCAGCAAGTCATCCTTTCTCAAATTCGTCGTCCAGCAACAGTACGGCTGGGCATGGCATCTTGAGGACGATGTCTTTTACACGGGACCATGGCGGGAGATTTTGGATTCGACTCTGAAGGATGGCACAGAACAGCAATATGACATTGTCGCCACGGGTAGTCCAGCCAAATCCGATTGGTACTACTTTCGTTCCGCCAAATGTGCCATTACGGTGGAACTGGCGACTGATGATACGAACAGCATCAGCCAAAAGCCACGGCGTGTCAAACGATTTTGTGTGGACGTTGACCGAACCATGATTCGATGGGCCATTCTACGTGTTTCCTATCGCTTTGCCAAGACGCTGGTGGATCAAGTCCCCAGCAAGGCCATTGAAGGGCATCACGAAGCCGTGGTAGCGTCCGTGTGTGCCGTCTACGGCTACCAGTGTACGTTGGATGTCTTGAAACCGTACATTGGTCACGTCGTCACAGCAGGGTGGGGAGACTGGATGGATCCACAAAACCAAACACTGGAGCGACATGGAGATTCCCAGCCCCACAAAATCTATCATCCAGTCAAATGTGCAGCGTACTCTTCTTCGCCAGCCAAGCTCACACAACAACTTGTCTACCAACGATGACGTCCTTAGCTACAAGACGTGGACAACCGCAACAGAATATCAAATGCGGTGAATTGGAAGACGAATGCAGATGCTCCGATCATCATCAAACGGCAGACAAAAAGCCACCGAAGCAACGCCATGCAGGCCTGAATATCATCCAATTCGTTTGCCAAAAATGAGACAAGAATGTAGAGCAAATAACTAAACGGTTCCGAGCCTTTTTCTTAAAAATGTAGAAGGCGTTTTTGCACGGAACTGCCGCTGTGATGCAGGACGAAAAGTAGTCTTTCAATCATCGTTCATGTCATTCTCAACCCGCGTTCCGCGGGGAGCAACAGCTCCAATTTAGAAACCGAACGAATCAAGGTGTCTGCAAGCGGATTGTAGTTCCAAAATAAGTAGTGACCCTTGAAGAATTTTGCCCTTCCGAAGGACGATATAAATTTGCCAACAGGCCAAGAACATCATCACAATCCTTTGTTGCCAGTGGCTTGTTTTTTGGATACCTTGATGTTTGCTTGACATGTCGGACAGATTTCTTTGGGTTTCTTTTTGAAGATACTGAGACATTGGCTGCAGACAAATGCCATATCCACAATATCGCCAGTTTCAAAGCACCGTGCCCGAAAATCCACCTTGTTAAGGGCTGGTAGATTGAGTGCGGATCGACAGGACCGTGGGGCCAAGAAAACACTCATGAGTACCTCGGTCAAGGCTCCTCCCACCTGAGCTGCCCCACTGGGAGCCAAGAATACCCCTCCCGTCAAATCACTGGCTTGTTCTAAAAAGGCACTGCTGGTGGAGGATCCTTTGGATCCACAGGGGATAAAGCAGCCATCCACCATGACATTGTGTTTGACAGCCGCAAATGCGCAATTCATAAAGGCGTTGTAATCCCGTGATCGATCATCTGTGGCTTGAATGAGCAAGATTCGAGGGGACCAGTCATTGGCTTTTTTGTTCTTTTTCTTGTCTCCACCACTGCCGACTCCACCACCAATCATGGCCAACACACCTCCATCATTCCCTTGTGCCATCATGTGTTCGCTCCGAACTGCAGAGACTCCTTGACCCGTTTTGGTCGCTACCAAGAATCGATTAATGCAGCACAATGCCGTGGAAAATGCCGCCGCCATGGCCGCTTCCGATGTGGGTCGTGGTGGCGATGATGCTTCTCCTCCTTTTTGCGCCATTTTGGTCCTGGCAACAGCCGCATTGACTTTACTGGTGGCCATGGCAACCAATTGGGAAACTCCTTCGAGTAGATCCACATGAATGGTTCGTAAATCATAACACGCATTGGTTTCCGGACTGCTAAAGTATCGTGCCAAATGATCCTTGCGAGGAAATACCACTGCCGTTTCATTGTGTGCCACTGCCACAATCAAGAGCCCCGAAGTTCGTTCCAGACTAGCAAAGGCTGTCGCAAATGCTTGCACGGCTCGGAGGACTTCTTCGAGAGTGGCAGGTCCGACGCTGCGTTTCCCCTGAGCTAACCGTTGTCGGTCACTCGCCGATCGTCGCAGGTCTCGTTCTCCCCACGCAATGGGGGAAACATCCACCACAATGGTCAGCAACGACCGAGAGTCGCCTCGTTTGTTGTTGTTGGCTGACATTAGTATTAGTCTATTTGATTTGACAAAAGGGAAAATAAGCTCGGACTTGTGATATGTCAACAGTGCAAGAACACAAGTCTCTACCTCTGGTCTGGAGCGATGGGCGCATCCAAGTTTGGGGTGTTTCGCTGTGCGTGGTGATTGGATCTTTTTCGGAGGGCAGCAGTAGCTCTAACCCTCTGTTCTGGAGTCTGGCCCAATCCCAAAGCAACCACAAAGAACCAAAGCGCCTTTGGATGTTGACACAATGTTGTGCTTGGCTGCTTTGACATGGTTGTTTGGAGATCCTGGAATATGCTGCTATGCATGGTCGTTGGAGATCCTGGAATATGCTCATGAACATGCACCCAGGCTGCTATGAATCGAATCGAATCGGTTAGAAGTGCTAGAACATGCTCATGAAAATGGATGTAAAATACATGCACCCAAGCAGCTTTTAAAATTACATGGGAGCAATCACGAATGGTTGATCGCCAGTTGACTGGATGTTGCTGGCAGGTAGTTAGTCTACGGATATCCAGGTAAAGGCACGGGGAATGCCTACAGTCTACTCTCACTTATATCATGAGGGGGAATTTTGGAAGAGTCATGATGTACCTGAGAGTCTGATATTACTCCCCTACTATCTTGGTCCCAAACACAGTCTGTACAGGGCTTCCATGAGCTCCTTTCTCGTGCATAATAACTGCACCTAACTATTTCTTACAAAAAACTCATCGAGAGGTGGTTTCTCTTGGGACGGCTGAGCTTGGCAGCTTGCATTGCCTTGCAATACCTGGCCTTGCCCCAGGTATACCGGTACCTCCTCTGATCCTTGCTGGCTTCTTGGGGCTGCCAACAATTGTTACTATGCAAAGACAAACCAAAAGAGTATCCTCATGTACAGTACTCAGGCTGTGCACGGTAGTGCTTAGCTCAACATAGCAGGTTGAGATCTCGCTCGGTACCGATACCGGTACAGGTGGTACAGCGTATGTACCGGTACCGGTACGCACCCGCTCCAGCTACAGTACAGCGGTACCAGGTATGATACCTGGTAGCTAGCGGAGCGGCTGGCCATGGAGAAACAGACGTCAAAAGTCTTAGTGTGTCGACTTTGCCTGAGGATTTAGAGGGACGATCTCACATGCAAACAGCATTAACAGCATGGATAAAACGAGAACTCGCCTTTGCAAAATCGCAGCATTCGGCTTACCACAATGGTTAATAGCGGATTTAACAAGAAAGAGAGGATGGGTCCAACTGTTAATGCTCAACTAAGAATTCACACTTATTCTCTGATCTCCATCATTATCTTCGGACAAGAAAAGGTACGAATGAACAATGACGTGACCAAAGGGCTATTGACACAAGGTCCACTGACACTTGACAACCGCGTCGCGAAACGGCATCGCCCCGAGCCCGGCAAGATCCAAAAAGAAAACCGGCCAGAGAAAACAGCACGGAAGAGCGAAAGAGCACAGCAAGCAAGAGACAAAATTGGCAGCTCGGAACCCGACATCTTTGGTTGTCCACGTTGGGTGCTCCAACCGCCAAGATTCGATTCATTCATTCATTGTTCCCCATCCATCCTCATCCTCACCATAACCAACAGTCAACAGACAACCATGGCGTCCATGTCGGGTACTGCAAAGCTCCAATTGGAGCAAGGGAGCTGGATGGAGACTCTCCATGAGATTTACATTGGATTTGTGGTTGGTGTAATGCACAATTGGTACTTTATTGACAAGTTTCTGAGAGAGAAGATTGCCCAGCCTGTGGCGGGCCTGCTGGGTTACGACTTGATGTTGGACCAAGGCGCCGAAGAGAAGGAAAAGACGCTCAAGGTGGTCGGTGTTGGCTATGGTCGCACTGGAACGGTGAGTTATTCGCCATGGTGGATGGTCAGGTTGTTGCTGTTGTCGGTTGGTTGTCACACAGAGTGGCGGCCCCGCGCGCCCAAATTCTATTCTGACAGTGACAATGATCCTCACCCCGTCGTTGTTGCTATGTTTGCGCTGTCTCTCTATCACCTTGCTCAATCTATCTGATCGGTGCTCTATTGACGCTATCTGGGCTTGGCTTCGTCTGCGGTTAATCCTTTCCTGTGCTCTATATTTTTGTTTTTTGCACTCGACACTGCTTTTGACACCTTTTCTGATTCACTTTGGGATGATGATGGGATGAATGCAATGATGTCTGCTTTCTGCTTTCTGTATATAGTACTCCCTCACGTTGGCTCTGGAAGAATTGGGGTTCCCCACACTGCACACGCAGCACATGTACGAGCATGCGGAAGTCTTTGCCATGTGGATTGACGAAGTCTTTCAACCTTCCATTGACGGAGGGCATGCTTCTTTGAGGAAACCAGATTTGCAACTGGTCGCCGACCACGGATTCCAGGCCACCTGTGACTTGCCCATGGCGTTGTACTACGAACAAATCATGGAAGAATTCCCCGATTGCAAGTTCATTTTGACCACTCGCAAAGATTCCGAAGTTTGGTTTCGCTCCTGGGATACGCTCACCAAGAGCATTACACAACCCGCACGATTCGGCAACTTTGTACCCGCCGTTCGACCCGTCATGATTTACTTGCGGTGGCTGTTTGCCATGGTCAACAAGGACGAATCCTACCTATCCTTGCCTTATCCACTGCCCGATCAACAAAAGGAAGCTTCCATTGCATCGTACGAGGCACACAATGCACACGTACGCGCTACAATCCCCGCCGACCGATTGCTCGAATACAATGTCAAGGATGGATGGGATCCCATCTGCCAATTTTTGGAAATTCAAGACTGTCCTACGACCCCCTTTCCAAAAACCAATTCGGCACGATCCGTCCGGGTGCAGGCCATTTCGTCCTTTGTGGTCCCCTTTTCGTTGATTTTCTTTTGCCTCTGTTGGATCTTTGTCAAGGTCTTTCGTCGGGTCTTGGGAACGACGCCCGTCAAATACATTAATTGGAGGTGCCGGTTGTTGTCGGCCAAAGTCACGGGGGCTTTGAATGGTACCGGATCGGCGTGTCCACAAAAGTCGTCATAAGACATGGAGTGGAGTGAAATTGTTTTTGGATAGAATTGAATTGAACGGTGTCAGTCAAGACAAATCCAAATAGAGAGTGGAAGTGATGTGTTGTTGTTGTTTTTGTTGTTGTCGCCAACCAATGGCAAGCAATGAGTACGAACGAACAGCCCTGAAAAGGCGGCGATTGCCTTGGTCGGGGTGGTTCTTGTGAGTTAGTTTGTATATGGTTCCGTCTAGCGGGCGTTCCCGAGCAAAAAGTCAAGCTTAAAAACTATAACAAATCGACGTTTAGAGATTACAGAGAAGAAGAAGCAACACCTACAATGCTCCGATGATTGGTGCTCGTTTTGTTTCGTTTCGGCTCGACTCAAACGACCGAACTGATGCCTGGCACGGCAGTGACCAATTTCGCCATTGTCAGGGTTACGCGCTTGCAAGTGCTGCCTCTCGATCACCTCAGACCTCTTCAAACGTGATGGTTTTCTCCAGAGAGGCAACACAAGCACACATCATGCTTTGTGCCTTCGAAAAACCAGATAGCTCACGAGCTCAGCACCGGTACCAAGTGAGCATCAATGTTTGTTTTACCAAGAAGAAGGATACGAATCTAAATTCAAGAACAGCATCCTCCTCATTCGAAAAATTCCTTTGGGGCGTCGTCAAACTACTCTCCGTCTACCTCGCATTCGTGCCTGAACTAGTGGACTACCGGTGGACTGACGACCGAGAGACTTGCACAGAAAGCATGGAACGTAACAGAAATACTAACCGTGATGAGCGACAAAATATAGTAATTGAGGAAACCAATGGGCAGTTTTGAAATCTATACAGTACAATTCCTTTGGGACACCAAGACTACGACAGTGAAGCAGTCAATAATATGGACAGCAAAAAGAGATAGCAATATCAGTAGCACGGCGAATTGTGGGTGCCTTGATGAGCATCGAGCTGCGAACATCTTGTTCGGTTTATTTAAGATGGGCACCACCGAGACGCTATTTTTTGCACCTGCTTATTTACTCTTTCTTGACCACTCCCACTTCGGCCGGTCGAAGCACTCGGTCATTCAACAGGAACCCAATTTTGATTACTTGTCCCACGGTACCAGGTGTTTTTTGGGCATCCGGGTATTCGTACAACGCCTCGTGCTTGTTGGGATCAAAAACGTCTCCGACCGTTCCAAATTTCTTTAATCCATTCGATTCGAATGCCTTCATGAGTCCAGTTTCCGTCATTTCAATTCCTTCGTAGAGCGTGGCCAAGGTGGGATTATTTTCCGTATCTTTTCGCAGTTCTTCGGGGACCACCTCCAACGCACGGCTTAGATTGTCGGATACTTCCAACAAACTCTTGGCAAAGGATTTGACGGCAAAATTGCGAGCATCCTGAACATCCCGTTTGGCAATGCGACGGGTATTTTCTTGTTCGGCAAGGCTACGCAATAGCTGATCTTTGGCTGCCTTGAGATCCTCCTCGAGCTGCTCTTCTCGGTTCACTTCTGGTTCGGCCTCTTCTGTGGCGGGGGCGGTTTCTTCAGTGGCATCTTCTGTGGCAGGCTTTTCCTCTTCGGTGGGTGGTGGGGGCGTTGTGGTTTTGTCACTGAAAAATCGAGCACTGGGGGCTGAAGCAAGCTGAAAGGCGACTTGTTGGGAGGACGATTTTGCATGACTCATCAGCAGAGAGCTTGTGGGCCGTGCCAATGGAGTAGCTGGCCTCAGGAGGGCCTGAACATATTTGGGTGCAACTCTCGAAACTACTCGACTGGACATGATGATGATGCTACCTTTCTTGGAAATGAATTAAAAATCAAGTTCTCAATAAAATGGAGAAGGCAGTGGGCTTCCAAACTATGATCGGGAGGAGAGAATCCCAAGCTATGGATGAGATTGCAACAAAGTTAGTCGTATGGCAGAGAAAGGAGCGTGGGATCTTCGTTTCTTTCCTCCTTCGTGTTGTGAACTTGCGCATCATCAATGAGAAAAAGTGGTTGGTGGTTGCGGGTGATTTGGAACTTTCCATTGGCTTCCACAATTTGTGACTCGACTCGTCACTCAGCACGTATTTCCGAGACATCCGGGTGCGCGGGAGTTTAAAGCCTTGCGACGAGTACCGTTCAGCTCGCTGAAACCAAGGGACCAAGGGCCAACGATCGCAATGATCAAGCCGTTGTCAGGTTGTCAGCCAAACCATCATCCACCAGATCCATTCTTCCAGTACCACTGTAATCAAACAACAAACCATAGCATGGACAGCTCACTCTCTAGTCTGATAATAGTACTGGCACTGATAGCCCACCTTGTGGCCGTCTATTTGGGCTATCGATTCCACCTGTGGATGCTCGACAAGCACACGCAGGAAGAACCATTCAATTTCGGTACATGGTGGAACCAGCAAACAAATGCCACCTTCAAGAGTAAAACCCCCGAAAAGAACAATATTGCATCATGTGGTGAAGGAACTGTAGACCCCGAAAACCTATCCAATTCACAAGTGGCCTTCCTTCAAACTCTGTCGATTTGGTTGTTGGTGGTCGGAATGGTGGCACGGTGGAGGTTCGAAATTGTGCTCCTCGTCTTGGCGGGAGTAATCCTTCTGGCGAGACAGTATCCCGGTGGCATGGTTCCCGACTCGCACATTTACATTGCCATCTTTGGATACATTGCATGGCTGGCCATTTTGACAACGACCTTGTCATTGCTCTTGTGGCCAATCCATGCATACCACTGGGACGCCAGCCATGGCTACTTCTATCGAACCGTCTCCATTGGAGGGGCCATTTCGTTTTCTGCAGCTGCGGCATTGGCACTCATTGCCTTTTGTCTGCATAAACCCCAAGTAGCGCAGGACACGGGCAACTGCATGGAATCCACATTCCATGCCATGACATAACCACCAAAGCAGCTGGCACATGATGTATTCGAAGCTATCAATCTCGAACTTCAGCAGTACCGTTGATATGGAGGCGAGACGATTAAAACGTGCTGTTAGGCAAGCTCTCTCGGAACACAAGGCTATCAAAACAGTTGCAAAGTTCTCAATACACAATCGAGGGCCTATATCCTAATGCTCCTGGTTGCGATGTTCGATCGTCACCCGATCTATCCTAATTTGTTCATAATTGATGCTAGTTAACCCTTCAAAAATGTGTAATATAGAGGAATGTGCAAGCAGCACTGGCAATCGAAAGGGCGCAACATTAGCATTGAGTTGTGAATCCTTTTGATCAAGTATGTGTAACGTTCGAGTTGCCGAGAATCTGGAGAGGAGTGGACTGCTCGGGGGTCGACAAGACATTGCTTTCATCGTCAACAAGCCAGTAGTAGTAGATCTCTGAACCTATTCAAAGGCTCGACTCTCAACAGTCGACCCTCGGAGACAAACGCGGGAATCTCAAAGAACGAGCACCTAGTATGCTTCGAGCTCGGTCTGTTCTTGAGCATCTTGGAGAATTTCAAAACGTTCGGGCATGGCCATGGACTCCTCCTCTGCTTCCTCCCCATCAACCAGATCTTCTGGGACGGTCGTAATTCCCATATCCCCGTTGCTCTCTCCTGGCTTTGTTTCTGGCACGTCATCGACAACGGTTCCAACATTGTCGTCGTCATCATCGCTCCCGGTAACGTTGTGAGCTCCAGCCATCAGGTTTCGCAAGGACCGCGAAAGAGCGCGTCGCAACGAAAGGGAAGACGGCGGGACGGAGGCATCGGGGTCCGTTAGAGAGGTGTTGTTCTTCCTTCTACATGTAGCAGCCTCTTTTCGGGAGTTGACCCACCGAGGTCTTAAGATTTTTATCCAATCACGAACGGGGTGAGATATTATTGATTGAACAAGAAAGAAAGCCAATCCGCCCCAACGCAAACTCACCGCAGATAAATCATAGTATTGAAGAATCCTTCCAAAGGTTTGATAAGCGAAGCCGTCATTGAAACATAGATATTTCCCTTGCCTGTCCACATCTTGAGGTTGTAATTGATAATCGACCAAATGTTGCAGAAATAGAGAACCACGATGAACAACGATGCTTGAACGGCGAATCTTTTAGATAGCTTTCGGTCCACCAAGGGGGTAGTCTGTCCCACACTGTACCGCACATTCCTCTTTTCCTGTGCTCTGATCTTCCACCAGACCAAGATCAAGCAGAGCGCAGTGGTAAAGTAGGCAGCACCGGCTGGGGTAGCTCGAAATATGTAGTAGAAGAGGGTGGTATTGTCTCCTTGCGTGCAGGTGGTGTATCCGAACTTGTAGGACTCTTTGCATTTTGGAGGTGTTTTGCCCATGTAACAGATGGTTCCCATGGGCCGATAGAAATCCGACGCCAAAAAGGCAATGGAGGGGACAAAGCTCATCAGAAGAGTTGTGGCGTGCATCCACGGCTCTGAGTTCTTTCGAATTTTGCGTTCCACCACGTTGTTGCGGATGGCCAGAATATAGTAAACCGCCAAACACAAGCTGTACATGAAGGATCCCACCGAGCCAATCTGCGTCAGGAAACCTTGTGCTTGACAGGTAGCTTCGTTTCCAGAGGCACTCCACATTTTTGCCGACCACCATTCCGGCGTGCACCAAGGCCCACAGAAGATTGCTATAGACTCGAGGAACTCCATGAGACTCAGTCCAAACAATAAACGAAAGTATGTCCGAGAACGCTTCTTCTGGTTGCTCGCCACCTCGAACATGACATAGGCTGTCGAGATAATCGACAGAAAGCTACCAATCTTGAAGCTTATCACTATCCACTTTTGTTTCCAAGGATCACTCATGGTTCATCAACTGCTTGCCTGATGGCTGTACTAGTACCTTTGATTTCTCTTGCGTCCAGCACTTCAGTAAACCACACCCGTTTCTTCGCAACAAAAGAAGCGAAATTGTGTGGAGAAGGGAAAGACCTTCGGACCCAGCCGAAACAGCAGAAATCTCGAAATCTCCCCTCTTTGAAGTTGCCTTTCGAGCTCTCGTACTCATGGCTACAGTCGTACGTCCTGAACACGTAAGACCATCGCAGTGTTGCAGTTGGGTCATTACATGTATTAGAGTAGCAAACTAACTTACTTACAGCCAGCGAAACAACTAAGTGTCGACAAGCTGTTCGACTTGTTGGGAAGGAAAGAGTTAAAGATCATGGTACTCAGTAATAATGCTAAGATTTTAACTAAATCCAAGGAGCAACCGAAAAAGATTGATGATAATTGCCTCCGCGCCACATCATGTCCTTGAAAACCCATCTTTTCTCGACAACATGTAGTATCCGTCCTTCAGTACATCCGCACAAAATAGTAACAGTGGGAGGAGGTGTAAATATGAGCGAAAAGCACTAAAACACTGCAACCACATCCAGTGACTGGAAATTCAGCGTGTTTTCTTGGATCTCTACGCCCAATCTTAACTTCTCTCATGGTGGACAAGTTCTGTTGGTGAACTTCAAGAATACCGTACGCGGATAAAAAAGCTACGCATACATGCATAGGACGCAGCAGAGGTTCCAACAGCCAACCGGTACCGTCGTAATAACTAGATACTGTACTGAGTACTGTACTACGAAGCAGCCGACAGCTCTGGGAGTCACTTGTAGACTACTGTATTACAATGTACTTTTGCGACTTGTTTTCATCTTATTCTCAATAATATTATCATCATCACTAACAGTTGATAAAGCAGTCAAATAGCTTCTTCTTGCCTTCTGGAGTTTCTAGGAAAGTGCTAGAATTGCTGAATCCAAGCACTTTGGCGGCTGGTGGATACCATTCTGGGTTGTAGAGCACAGTGGCATGCTTGTCAACATGATAGTTTGGGGGTGACACTTTGGATACATAATCATAGTCATGCATAATCTTGACTGTCACCACATTTCCAGCGTTAGCAACTGCAGCCCAAAGCCCCCATGACGACCCAGCGGATGGTATCAAGAGATTGGGAGCAAATGCTATTCGCCCAAAGTCAACATCACGGTCATCCGAGTTCTGCAGTGAAACTATTGTAACATTCGGATTGCGGGCTCGGATGTAGTCATCTCGAATTTGATGCAATTCCTCACAAAATGCTGCTCCCCAACCCTCATAATGGCCCGATATGGAATACACTTTAAAAGTTCCAGTGCTAGGGATATTATCATAGAAGGAAAGGGTGGCAAACCCATGTATAGGATGGCAGAAGATACAACACCTATCGTAGATGAACCAATCATCCTGTTCATAGAATTCCCCCAGGAGTTGTCGCCTACTTTCGGCATCGTTGCTGTACCTGTGGTCGGCATATTTTTTCAAAGCGGCAATTTCCTCCTTTTGAATGGTCTCCCAAATATCACTCCAGCCGTACTGGTATTCGTGGATATTCATGAGCTCGGTAGGAGTGTTGCAGAGAAACCGCTGAAATGCTTTGGGATCATTGGAATTATTCTCTTCTGCAGTACCGGTATTGGTGACATTGTGTGGGAGAAATCGGACAAATTCACCGTTGGTCCAACCATCAAACTCACTGGTGGCTGTATGTCCATGTCGGAAGAGGTTGTATCCTCCCATTTGTGCCAAGGCACGAGATGCCCAGTATTCGGACAATGCATTTCCAATGTTGTATCCGTTGCCTATGAAGGTTTCCAGCCAAATGGTGCGATTGCCATCCACCAAGTTGATTGGTTGTCCGTGGATACTCTTTTCTTCCAGCCGCTGACATGTCGTAGGTCCTTTGATGAAATGGACGGTCAAAAGCGGAATGGACGTTGCCACAAACAGGAGCAGCACCAAACCAACGTATACCCAACGCTTCATGGTACGGAATGACAGGAAGCCACATCTATCCGAGAGAGAGTTATTTTTAGAAGGACCCTCCGGTGAACCAAGGCGTAAGCTCATCAGGCCTGAGCTGCCCTCGACGAGTGGCTGCATTTCTATCTGTTCATCGGTGTCCATCTTTTCATCAAGCATATTGCTATCGACTGGAGTACTTCAAGAGCAGCACCGCCAGGATAATTATAATCCTATTATATTAGAAGATCTACTAGTACCACTGCGTCTGTATGGTGTGTAGGAGAGAAAAAGAATGGGAGAGAAAAAGTTCGTTGGCGTTTTGATCTGCGGTACCGGTTACCAGTATCAGCAGGGGTATTTCAAGGTGTCTTTTGAGTACAGTACGACTGTACACTGTACCCGCCTCAGGGTGCGGAAATTTAAAAATGGGATTTAGAGCTGCCAGTTTCACGCAGGCTTGCGTGAAATTAGCTGTTAGTTTCACGCACGTAAAACAGTTACTATGCTTGCGTTAAACTATGTTCAGTCGTGCGTGAAACTATCGGTCACTAGAAATCTTGCGTGAAACTAGCCGTGTTGCTGCGTGAAACTAGCCGTGTTGCTGCGTGCTTGCTAGTTTCACGCAGACCTGCGTGAAACTAGTTTCACGTGTTTTGAAACTGGGCGAAACGCTGCTTGAAACTAACGGCTAGTTTCTCGCAGACTTGGTGATTTAAGTCCCGTTTCCGCACCCTGCAGATACGTCAGAATGTCTTCTAAAGTTCCTTCCTTCCTTCCTCCAACCCGCATGCATGGCCAATACAACAGTATTGTGGGTATTAATAGTACTAGTATCTTTTCGACCATGGCAATAGTGTTATCTTCTTGGACTTGGAGGAGGAGGAGGAGATCCATCTACCCTCTGTTAGCAACTCTTGTGTTGCTACAGGTGTTGCCAGAATGTGCCGCTTGGTCGCTGTTTCCCAGGATCTCCCTTCCGAAACGTCTCTCTGTTCGAGGATTTGACCGCACGTACTATGGTCTATCCCAAAACAACACCATTCCCGATCCCCTCGAAGTGGCTGCGATTGTGGGTGTTCGACCTTGCATGATGGCCCCCAAGTTGGTATGGAAATTAGCATGGAGAGGTCATGGAGCACTCTTGCCGTTGCTTCATGTGGGGGATGGCGCCAAACCTCGTGATAGCAAACAATCCCTTAAGGTACTCTGGTGCAAGGCCATTGCCAGTATGGACAAGACTTCCAAAGTGTTTGATGATAAATGGACCTACGATACATTACCAAGGGGCAGTCGATGGTTGCTGCGAATTCTACCCACAAGATGGTTTCCGCGGTTGCATCATGCCAACATTGAAGCCAGGACGGCTTATCTGGACCAAATTGTACAAGGTGAAATCATGGATCGAGTGCGACAACCCGACAATGCGATCCAAAACATTCGACTGATATCCGTGGGTGCTGGCTACGATGTTCGGTGCAGTCGGCTGCTGTCCCAATATTACGCAGACCACGACACTATTCAAATGACAGCCTATGAATGTGATCTGGATCACGTCGTCCAGTCCAAACAAAAGATTCTCGACCGCATCCAACGTCGTCGACCACAGTCTCGCCATCCCACACTGATATCCATGGACCTTAATGATCTGAATGGGACCGTGACACAAACTCTGCAAGAAATTATCCTGCAAGATGGTGGCAATAACAACAACAACAATAAACAATCCACGCACACCATTTTCATTTCCGAAGGTGTCATGATTTACTTGAACCAGGGTGTTCCCAGTGGTTTGCTGCAACTGTGCTCCGAAACAGCCATACAAGCGGGAAGCACGGCCTCATTTTGTTTTGCGGATCGATTGGAGAATGTACCAGGGGGTGACCGAGAGGCAGCTATTCTGGAACTGTCTCGCAATGGCTGGGAACTGATAGACTTTTGTCCCAAGCCAGGATTGGCCCGTCATATGGGCCTCGCAAGGTTATTATAGTGTCGGAAAGGGATCGGTGACGAAAACGCTAATGCTACTATATTCAACAGCCATGTCGGAAAGGCAATTTTGATTATGCATATGTATGTTTTGCCTACTAGCTAATATTTATTAATCGACCGCATCATAATCGCCATCGTCACCATCCAACCTCGTAATTTGCACCGATGTCGTATTGGGCCGCTGGAGTGATTCTGACACCATCATGTCACTACTCCCGTCGGGCGTCCCTTGTTCGTCTCGTCTCAAGAATTGGACGCATTCATTGATACGTTCCGAAACGTTTTCCTCTTCTTCCACCATATCGGCCCATTTCAAAATGACATAGGTTCGTGCCAATCGGATGGTTTCCCGTGATTTTCGCCCCGACGCGCACAACAACAGCAACGTTTCGACCAGAAACAATCGTGTCGTGGCATCGGGTTCTCGTACCTTGTCCGGTCCTTCCAACCACAGGTCGGGATCCAATCCCTTCTTTTCGTCCAAATCCAATTCTTCCGGGCCGGCTAGTGGATACAACACGGGCGTCATAATCTTGACTTCGTTCAAGAACCACCATGCCGAATCGGTTTCCAAACAGCAGTTACGAATCGTGCCGGCAATGCCACGACGACGAATGGGATTGGTATTTCGCAATTGTGGAAGAATCGCTTGAAAGACAGAGGAGGACGCGTTGTTTTCGTGGCGACGAATCTTCAAGACAAATTTGCGCGCTGCTTCGGTTTGCGTGCAATTCATGAGAACGGCCGCAAAATGTTGGTACGGATCGTGATAATCACTGTCTTGTTGCGCGTCATTGTCGTTTGTTAACAGTGGGCAATATTGTCATCATCGTCATTATTTTTGTCGTGTCTTTTTGGGGTGGAGGACTACAAAATTCGTCTCGCAAAAACCGCGACAACATGAGTTCCAACAAGGGTTTGGTGGGTAATTTTTCCCGTTCTTCCGGTGTCAATGCTTCCGGTGCTACGGCTTTTTCGGGGAGTGTCTTTCCCACCAATTCGACCGCACCCACTTCATCCCGCGTGAGATTGGCCAAAATGGCCAGTGCAAAATTGACGCGTTTTTTCCATTCGACGAGAGGATTGTTGTCGTTTGTCGTAGTAGTAGCGGGTGGAGGAGCACTCAAAATGACTTCCATGACACGATTGATCCCTCCGGCCAACAAGAGTTCTTCCAAGCATTTATGGCTGGTGGATGAATTCGAGGAAATCAGGACCATGGCTTGCAAGGCATTGACGCCAATGGTCGGATTGGAATGATTGAAATTCTTGGCCAACGGCTTGACCAGACCATTGGCAATCATTTTTTCCATTCCTTCGGCATCGCGGACTTGCAATACGGCCTCGGTGGCCGCCAGACGAAGATCCACTCGTTCGGCTACCAAAAATCCCGTCAGGTCTTGGTACATTTGACTCTCATCTTTGTTGGCTCCCGTCATACTGTATTTCTGCTGTGTGCTTTGTTGTGGTATACCCGGTAGCGCTGCAGTGAAATGGGCTCTCAAAGAATTGGTGGAGAGCAAGAAACGGAACATTCTTGTTTCCTGTTTTCTTGGTGGTGCTCGTGGTGGTGTCAAGCTTTGTCACCAGGTTATGAGCCACACACGAATGAAAGATATTTTGTTCACTTCAGTAAAGCACAGGTGCCACCGTACAGCCGTAACGCTACTCTCCCGGTACGGGTACCCGTACCGATAGTACGAGTTTTATCGGACCGGTTACTGAACCTGGTGCGTTACCCCTACGTCTCGGACCAACAAAGCGACGATCTGCCGAGGCTGGGCTTGAGATGTTGCTAGATAGCAGGGGTCATTGAAGTTGCCCGATTGTTTGTGATAATAATTAAAGGCTCATACCACCGATTCACCAATCTCCGAGAAACGTTCCAAGGAGACTTCTCAAGGAAGCTTACAAGGGACATCGTCTCGAGGGACTTCCGCAACGAATCATGCAACTGCCAACTCCGTAAGAAGGGTAAGAACGGCGAATGTCTATTCGGCAACGTCTGCAGAAACAAGGTGGTACTATACTGTATCAAATGCACAAACAGCGACATGGAATACATTGGCACAACCCAACGTAATGTCAAACTTCGAACCAACGAACACTTCAAGGACGTCATAAACCTCATGGACAACGACCAAAAATTGGACTCATTCGCAAGACACTTCGCCGACCAATTCAAAAGAATGAAACCGGTAAACAAAGAGCTCCTGCGGAACAGCGTCGAAGTGAGCGTTCTATGGCAAGGCAACCCCATCAGCTGTGTCAAAACCTTCCGGACCCGACACTGCCAACTTTGCAATAAGGAAAGACTTGAAATACTTCGACGTTCTCGAGAATCACCAGAAACAATGATCAACACACGCAACGAAATCTACGGCGCCTGCCGACACAATCCAAAGTTTCACAAGTACATATAATTTAGCCCAGCACTGATGAGTCTCACAGAGGAGATGAAAGAGTCACGCCAAAACCGAAAAGTTACCACAGAGGCTGAAAGCCTGTGTTTTAGCGATTTGGCAGTTGGTGACCTGTTTCAGTAAAATTTACTTAATCCAGTCACTCTTTGCTAAAATCGTATGATTGAGTCAGCGGAAGCTGCGATACATCGGCAGAAAGACAGATAGAAGAAGGGGGATCATGTTCAAAATTGCACCCATCTTTCAAGCCAGCCCTGGCGACAACACCCGACTACGTCGTGTGTTGCCGCCCGGTATCATTCATTCCCTCATTGCAACCTTCTTTTTTAAGCTAGCCCTGCCGACAACACCCGACTACGTCGTGTGTTGCCGCCCGCTAGTACTATAATTACCAGCTGCCATTCCCTATTGTAACTCTAACCTTTACAACTCCTGCTGGCTTATTGTGCGTTGTTGATTGCACTAACCTTAAATATTAATGATTTTTATTCCTACCCCTAACTTGTATTGAACCATCAATGTTCAGTTTTGTTGGCTTAAAACTATCTCTATCCTTATACTTTGGCTTCACCGGAATAGGAAATAGGAAAAAGGAAATAGATAAGTCAGCGGGAGCTGCGATACCTCGGCAGAAAGACAGATAGAAGAAGGAGGATTATGTTCGGCACCCATCTTTCAAGCTAGCCCTGGCGACAACACCCGACAACATCGTGTGTTGCCGCCCGGTATCATTCATTCCCTCATTGCAACCTTCTTTTTATTAAGCTAGCCCTGGCGACAACACCCGACTACGTCGTGTGTTGCTGCCCGCTACTCTATAATTTACCAGCTTCCATTCCCTTATTGCAACTCTAACCTTTACAGCTCCTGCTGGCTTATTGTGCTGTTGTGATGATTGCACTAACCTTAAATATTAATGATTTATTCCTACCCCTAACTTGTATTGAACCATCAATGTTCAGTTTTGTTGGCTTATGACTATCTCTATCCTTATGCTTTGGCTTCACCGGAATAGGAAATAGGAAATAGCATTAAAGGGGTGGAGAACTCAGGCAGTTTACCTGCCGAGGTAAATAGGAAATAGGAAATAGAAAATAGGAAATAGGAAATAGGAAATAGCATTAAAGGGGTTGAGAACTCAGGCAGTTTACCTGCCGGGGTAATTTAAGTCAGCGGGAGCTGCGAGACCTCGGCAGAAAGACAGATAGAAGAAGGAGGATCATGTTCGAGATTGCACCCATCTTTGAAGCCAGCCCTGGCGACAACACCCGACTACGTCGTGTGTTGCCGCCCGGTATCATTCATTCCCTCATTGCAACCTTCTCTATTAAGCTAGCCCTGGCGACAACACCCGACTACGTCGTGTGTTGCCGCCCGCAACTCTATAATTTACCAGCTGTCATTCCCTTATTGTAACTCTAACATTTAGAACTCCTGCTGGCTTATTGTGCTGTTATGCTGATTGCACTAACCTTAAATATTAATGATTTATTCCTACCCCTAACTTGTATTGAACCATCAATGTTCAGTTTTGTTGGCTTATGACTATCTCTATCCTTATATTTTGGCTTCACCGGAATAGGAAATAGGAAATAGGAAT